CCACTTCCTATATAGTTTTCTTTACCTCCGGACCATTCCGGAACTCCTCGTGACGTCCGAGATCTCATCCGGGACTCCGAACAACATTCGGTATGCTGCATACTCATATTCATACAACCCTAGCGTCACCAAACCTTAAGTGTGTAGACCCTACGGGTTCGGGAGACACGTAGACATGACCGAGACGGCTCTCGGGCAATAACCAACAGCGGGATCTGGATACCCATGTTGGTTCCCACATGCTCCTCGATGATCTCATCGGATGAACCACGATGTCGAGGATTCGAACAACCCTGTATACAATTCCCTTTGTCAATCGGTACGTTACTTGCACGAGACCCGATCGTCGGTATCCCAATACCTCGTTCAGTCCCGTTACCGGCAAGTCACTTTACTCGTACCGTAATGCATGATCCCGTGACCAAACACTTGGTCACTCTAAGCTCATTATGATGATGCACTACCGAGTGGGCCCAGTGATACCTCGCTGTCATACGGAGTGACAAATCCCAGTCTCGATCCGTGTCAACCTAACAGACACTTTCGGAGATACCTGTAGTGCACCTTTATTGTCACCCAGTTACATTGTGACGTTTGGTACACCCAAAGCACTCCTACGGTATCCGGGAGTTACACGATCTCATGGTCTAAGGAAGAGATACTTGACATTGGAAAAGCTCTAGCAAAACGAACTACGCGATCTTGTGCTATGCTTAGGATTGGGTCTTGTCCATCACATCATTCTCCTAATGATGTGATCCCGTTGTCAATGACATCTAATGTCCATAGTCAGGAAACCATGACTATCTGTTGACCAACGAGCTACTCAACTAGAGGCTCACTAGGGACATGTTATGGTCTATGTATTCACATGTGTATTACGATTTCCGGATAATACAATTATAGCATGAATAAAAGACAATTATCATGAATAAAGAAATATAATAATAACCCTTTTATTATTGCCTCTAGGGCATATTTCCAACCCCTCCCCCCTCCCTCCGGTCAAAGTTACCATGGGAATTGTAAATGAGTTACCAGATCTACTGTTTGTATATTATCATGGTACTTGCACCTAAAAAATCAGGTGTGTTTCGCTAACTTTTTCCATAGGTCAAAAATTACCGCGATGTATTTGCGTAAGTTATCACGCCTATAGCGGGTCAAAGCGGACCTTTTTTAGGCCAACCCACAAGCATGTGTGCCCCTCATGACACTAACCATTCCGTGACTTGTCCGTGGCACGCTATGTGTTGTCGGCCGCGCGAGGCAAGGGTATGTTTTTAACAACTTTTTCCTCAAGGTTATTACAGACATTACCGGGGATGCTTTGAACAACTTTTTCTTGAGCCAAAAAGTTACGATGGAGTTTTTAGGTAACCTATCAAGTCTGCGGTGCTTAAATATCATGCTATTTAAACAAAATTTATCAGGTGTATGTTTCAACAAAAATTTCCCCCACGGACCAAAAACTTATCATGGTGTTTAGTTATTGCGGTGCATATATTTTTCATGATATTTACACAGAAAAATACCAAGGGAGGGAGTATATTACCGTGCTATTTACACAAAAGTTACCAAGGTATCTTTTCAACAATTTTCTTCCCTATGGTCAAAGTTAACATGATATTTCTACCTCAGTTATCAGATGTGTGGTGCACATATTACCATCTATTTACACAGAAGTTATCAGGTATTTTTTTCATTTTTCTTCCTTCAAATGGTCAAAGTTACTACGGTGTTTGTACCTAAATTATAAAGTCTATGGTGTGAATGTTACCCTGCTATTTACACAGAAATTTCCGGATGGGTGGGGTGTTTTCAACAAATTTCTTTCCAATGATCAAAGTTACCACGATGCTTTCACCTAAGTTATCAGGCCTCCGGTGCTTATATGACCATGCTACTTACACATAATGTACCGTGTGGTATAGAAAAGTTATCATGTTGGTGATGCATTAGTTATCATGTTTTGGCTCTAGGGAGCACATGCTCACAGATGAACAATAGACTCAAAACAAATAGTAAATAAATTTCAAATATGCTGATTTTTTTTATGGATGTTCAATTTAGAACAAACATGCTTGACATTTTTCATGCAAAACAAGATAGCAATGCTCCGTCTCTAAAAAAACTAAACTAAGTTTAACATTTGGCGTTTGATTTGTTTATTTCTCACAGGTAAAAATGCTTAAGCTTTTTCACTAAAAATCCACAGGTAGCATTTTGGCGTGACAATGAACACATCTATTTTTTAAAACAAAAATTGACATTTACAAAAAACATTTTTGGCAGGCAGGAGCATATGCTCCCAAAGCCAAATTGGATTTCTGTTTTACTTTGCATATTAAGATTGTCATAAGTCAAACTTTGTAAAGTTTGACCAAGCCTACAGAGAAAATATCAATATTTGTAATACCAAATCAACATCATTAGATTCATCGCTGAATATATTTTCATATTGTAAACGTTGATATTCTCAATATTGATATTTTTACATTTTGCAGGGAAAAATGTGGTTTGTCAACCACTTTCTGGAGGTTTACATACACCAAGGCACAAAATCGTTACAATAGAAGTTCTAACGGCATGTATAAAGTGGTTACAGAGCTGACAGAGAAAGCAAAGAAAGGACTTTTCATGAGCAGTCAAGCCTATGCCAGGATGGACGCACTTGAGGCGATCTCGATCGTCTCCTTGTACTGAAATCAAGGCTTTGCAAAAGCATCAAGTAGTACAGATATAACTTTATACATGGTGTTTACCTTGGTGAAGCCTAGTACAGTAGTACTTTGGAACTCACTCGGAAGAGGAAACATTATACGATTCTAACAGCTGAAAAGATCATTAGACCACCATACATGCTACAACAATCCTAGGACAAATGGATCAGCGCGCTCTGAAGTTTCGAGCAACCATCATGAGCACCGGGAAATTCAAATGACTCGGTGGCGCGAAAACAGAGAGTACTTTGCAGAACAATGAGAATGAAGAGTAAGATGTGTTTCTGCATATGCCAAATATGAATGAACAAGTGCATTTTACAAAGAAAAAAACAAGTACTCCCTCCGTCCGGAAATACTCGTTGGAGAAATGAATGTATCTAGACATATTTTAGTTCTAGATGCATCCATTTTTATCCATTTCTCCGACGAGTATTTCCGGACGGAGGGAGTATAAGAATAGGTACACTTTGACTCGTAGGATTCAAAAGTGCGGAATAGAAAGAAAGAAAAACATGTGTCGGCTAGTAGGAGGCTGACCAATGTTTTGTGTCACATTTCAAGCTGTGAATAAGCAAATAGGTTCGTATGAAATAGTTTACAGCTTCAGTGACATGTTAGGATAGTTCTGAAGTTTGGGATCCAGGTGACACAAACCTGCTGCAACCTTAGGACACCATAGTGCATTTTGTTTATATGCAAACATTTCCAATATAACAGTGGGGACGTTTGCTGTAATTACAAGTGATTAAATGAGTCAAAGGAATCATATGAACAAAACACTCATAGTGACGTCAAATTTCAACATTTGAGAACATACAGAAGAGCTTGGCAACCTCTCTTTTTTTTTAAAGAACCTCCTCTCAATTAAATGCCACACTACACAATCACAATAGTACATTTTATTCTTATGTCATTTATCCTGCATATGACAAAAATTGTACATTGCATATTACAACTCTGACTTGCCAAGGATAAGCAGTTAAGCACACATCATAGACTCAAATATACTACCTCTGCCCCATATTAAGTGTCGCTCAAACGGATGTATCTAGATGTATTTTGATGATCCCCAAGAAAAGCTTGTGCACCTTGTCCTTTTTTTTAATAGTTAGATTAATTCGACACATATGGTGCCTATTAGTGTGCCCTCCAAAGCAACATCACATGTATCTTCTTAATTTTATTTTAGTTTAGGATAGCTTGTACAAACAAGGAAGCAGCAATATGATCAGAATACATTTGGTGTTCTGGTTATAAAAAGTCGCAATGTCATGAACCAAAATAATGATGGATATTGAAGAGGGCTGGGACTGCAGTCACTGCACTTCACGAGTAAGTTGAGATGCAAGATATGGAGAGTCAGAGACATAAACCACATATGAAATAGTAGAAGATTTTTTTATGTGGAAAAGACTAATTACCTCTTCTTGCTTGATTTCATAGGTTACAAACAATCCCTATATGTACTTGGGGTTCTTTGCTGAATACAAACTGGATATGACACTAGATTATAACCTAAACTGATAAAAATTAATAGCTACCAGTGCAACCACCTATGTGCCACTCCTAACTTGGTACACACTCTATGATACTACCAATCAGGTGATTCTCCTAATCTGGCCCGACTCGAACAGATCTCCTAGATGGAGATCACGGTGATGGACCCTTAGGTTCCTTGCAGTGGAACATAATAAGCGTGGCCCAACATAACAAGCATGGATTTGTGGACGTGAGATGTAACTTCATCATGTGCTTGTCATGACAAGTCGTTCAGCTATAAAATGCTGGTGCTGCATTGCATAAACCTTCTCGATATCCTGAACTTCCTATTCATGGTGCAAACTTCAAAAATGCCATTTTACAGAGCTTATTTGTAAGAATACATTTTATGAGTTAAGTAGCTTTAGGTCAGATATTTTATCATATTCATATATGCTTAAAAGGGATGCAAGCAGGCAAGCCACGAAGCTAGCATATTATGTTAAGATCAAGTGAAATATTATACCAGACGGAATAGCGGAGGCTGCCCACTTGCATCACTACGATTTCCAGGCAGTTTCCTCCATCAGCCATCTCTTCCCACTTCAAAAGTGAGACACAAAAAAATAGAGATAGGCATAAAACAAACAGGATATAAGTTTCGTTGATCCCAGGTTCATTGCATGGCATGATTTCAGAAAGGAAAAGGAGCAGTAAAGTATAACAAAATTGACAGTCGAGGCCAGGGAAAGGACAGTGCCTTTGTGCAGGGTAGAGCGCAGCAGAATCTTCCAGCTACTTCACAGTCACAGCACTGTCTGTCCCAGCTCCTCTATAAGCTTCCAGAACTTCAGGAATAGTTTGCTGGTAACCAGTGACATACTTCTCCATGAACTTCTTCTCCCCCAGTATCAAGTGGCTTATTCGGATGCGCCGGATGACACCCCTTGACACCAATATGTCCAGCACCTGGTACCTTGGTAGGAGCCGCTTCTCGTAGCTGAGAGAGATAAGCATCGGGCTAGCTGAAACATACTCTGGGGTCCAGCCAAGCTTATCAGCAAAGAAGTGCGAGATACGCCTCACTTTGTCATCTGATACAGACATGCAGTAGGGGTGCCTGACAAAGGCCAGCTTCACCAGCTCCTCGGTCCACCCCAAGCTGAGATAATTGTCGATCCTGCGCTTCCATGTCACCGGACTCAGTCTGGCAAACAGCCCAAAGGCGTAAGGGAAGATGCCAGAGGACGGGCTGACCCCGAGCTCTTTCATGGCAGCCAGGCTCTCGTTGAAGAAGGAGGACCTGTGAATGAGCGACCTGGGGTGCGTGGTGACCAGCTTGACGATGACAGCGTTCGTGGCGCCATGGTCGCGGAGGATCTTGACCTTGGGGAGCAGGTCGGAGCGGACGTTGCCGTGGATGAGCTCCAAGGAATTCTTGACGGCGGAGCGCGCGTTCTGGTCGGTGCCGAGGAGCTCCCTGAGGAGGAGGAAGTTGGGGCGGAGGCGGCGCTCGAGGCTGTAGCAGAGGGAGCGGTACGGGTTGGAGAGGATGATCTTGCGGATGCGGTCGTCGGTGAGGCCCAGGTCCCGGCGGAAGAAGTCGAGCTTGGGCGCGAGGATGGCGTCGGCGCGGTAGTTGAGCATCTCGGGGGCGGCGGCCACGACGCGGGCGAGGTCGGCGCCCGCCAGGCCGAGGCCGCGGAAGAGGGCGAGGACGGCGTGCGCCCTCTTGGTGGAGCGCAGGCGGACGCGCCCGGCGATCTTGGCGGCGGCGGGCTCCGGGAGGCCGCAGGAGTTGCGGAGGAAGTGGAGCGTGAGGGAGCACGGGTCCGCCGCGGCGTTGGAGACGCCGGCATGGCTACCCGGCAGGTGTTTGAGGAAATGCGCGAGAGGGGGATGGCCGCACGAGAGAGGCGAGACGGGCGGGATGACGCCGCCGGGGAGGAGGAGGCGGCGGCTGCGAAGCATTTGGCGGGGCCGGTCCCGGCGTGGGAGAGCGGGGGAGCGGCGGCCGGGGAGGAGCACGGCGCGGCGGCTGCGCGGCCTCCTCTCTGTTCCTCTCGTCTATCTCAAATCTCTCAATCCACCGTGGCGTGGCTGGGTCGATTCAGTGTGGACGCGGGTAATTTGGACAAATCCTGGTCTGTTTGGTTAATCCTGAATATCAAAAAGGCCCCCGTGGCAAAAAGGGGTGGAAGCCCAAGCGTGGAGAAGAGAGCGCGTCTTTCCCTCTTGCCACCACAAATTGACTGATTTGCCCTTGATTCCATAGTTAAAAAAAACGAACCGTAGATCGAACCGGTGAGCCTGTCGGTTCAGGTTTGTACAATTTGGACCACCGGTTCATCGGTTCATCGCCAGTTTTCTACATAAAATAATGCTACATGTTCAGTAATATTCATATATGATAATATAATGTTAAATAATGGTCAAATAAAATCACTTCCTCATAATTGAAAACAAAGTAGCATGGTCGAGTTGTTTATTGGGCCATGAGCATAGTAATTCCTGCTCCCACGCGTCATGCGATTGAACCCCACTTCTTCCAAATTCTGCATTAATCATTTTCTTGTTTATTCACCGGTTTTCCAAAAAGCCGGCCAAATTTGACTGGTTTTCTCCAGTCCAATTGATGAATGTTCTTATTAGCTCAAAAAGACGCCGGGACCGTCGATTTCGGTTTTTTCCTATCCGACCGCCAACCCATTATGGGTTTTTAAACTACGCTTGATTCACCATAACATGTTATGGGCGGTGGCTCCGGTCCTCCTGGTGAGGTTGTTGCTCCCCTCTCCCACTGGTTGCAACTTGTCGTGCGGCGGCGACGACGACGATGCCCTGGCGCTAGACCCACCTCAGTCGCGGGAGGAGTTTGGTGAGTTTATCTTCTGTTTTTCCCTCTTGGGCGATGAATCTAGGGTTGTCGGCATCATGGTGAAGTTTGTGAAGATTGCTTCGGGGGTATTGTTGACGGTTGTTGTCTTGGTTGACGACAATGTAGGAAGGTGGAGATGTTGGTTATGTCGAAGATGTGCAAGCGGCAGTGGAAGGCGGATCAAGCACATTTCTTCGACAAGGTCAGAGCAGGGCGGTGGATCTAGGACCTAAGAACCAAGATCATTGTGGCGGGTCTAGGATCTAAGAATCACGACGAGAATCCCGATCAAAGTGACAATGTGGGCACCGGCATGAGACCTCCATGGACTTGGTTGTTTTTTTCTTTTTCTTGGGTGGTTTCTACAAACTTTCAATACATGTTTTTTTTTCCAGAAAACTTCCAATCTATTCATCGTCAATCCTGGCAGTATAACGAACACCAGAAATAACAAAAAATACATCCAGATTCATAGACCACCTAGCGACGACTGCAAGCACTGAAGCGAGCCGAAGGCGCGCCGCCGTCATCACCCCTTCCTCGCTGGAGCCAGACAAAACTTGTCGTAGTAGACACATGTTATTGATGGTCATCTTCAATCACTTCACGCGATGCACCATCAACAATTTCATGTCACTGCTTAAATTTTTCGAGCATTATTTTCCACAAAATGGTACTACCAGGCTGCATACACCTATTATTTTGTAATATTCCGTCCCATAATATAAGAACGTCTTTTACGAGACGAAGGGAGTAGCAACAAATAATTTTGACTTGAAGCATAATAATCTCACCCTGCTTACTACTACTGCGGACCGTCTTCTTCCGTCTGTCAGTAATTTAATTTTTCATTACCTACATCCTTTTTCTTCTAACGTTATTATACACATCCATTCGTACTGAACAAGAAGAGAGGCTTCGCAACCGTAGACTCAACAGTCAGCAGGCGAGTGAGACTGCCAGTGGGCCCCAATCAATTTGGACACGAGCAGAAGATAACCCAGCACTGGGCAGGCAAAGAATACTCACTACACATAACCCGAAGAGGTAATTAATTACTCCCTCCGTCCCATAATACAAGAACATTTTTTATACTAGTGTAGTGTAAAAAACGTTCTTATATTATGGGACGGAAGGAGTACTTACTATCCCCTCCTTTGAACAGCTCAAAAACCTACAGACTGAGACCGATCCAGTCCAGGTCCTTCAGGTTCAGGTTCACCGTTCAGAGCAGGACGGCTACGGCGAACGAAATGCAGCTCCAGGCATCTCTCCATGGCCGGACGAAGCTTGGACACCAACATCTGCATCGACTTCACAAGGCAAACACAATGAAATCATACTGAGATGGAACTTGGTTAGACAATCGCGACAAAGTCGAGCATAGTGCTTGCTGTACATTGTGTTCTGTTCTTGCTGTCAGCTACAGCAGCGATAGGTAGAGTTTCAGTTTCAGTGTTGTTGAATTCGGCGTCTCCTGATTTCAGTCAACGAATCATCATCATCCCGTGAGCCTGCCTTTGAGCTTCTGGTTTGAAACGCACTAGGTGCAAAGGTAACTAAGATGAATGATCCCAGCTTCCAGAGCTATTATTAATAACTGAACTCAAGGTACGACCGAATGATCAAATTTCGGACCAATTGTTTCCAGAGTACCAGCAAAGGAAAGTAACCACCACAGGCTCTAGGCCTTAGGGTGTGTATGAATGATCTACAGTAGTAGTTTAATGAGCTTCAGTTACACAGAAACGAAGCCGGTTTTCAGAGCAATTAGTTACTTTGGTCGATACCTCTTATTTATTCCCCATTGAAGGCAGAATTTACCGACTCCGAAATTTATACGGGTGCAAGCTCAGAAGTCTTACATCCGAAATTTGTGCAATGTGCTCTCCTTGAATAGAGTAATTTGATGCAGGAGACAAAGCAAAAGTTGTAGTGATCAGCCCTGGTGATTGGTGAAGATCTCCACTGTCTATCTTTGCTCTGCATCTAGTACTCCCTCCGTCCCGAAATACTTGTCGGAGAAATGGATGTATCTAGATATATTTTAGTTATAGATACATCCATTTTTATGCATTTTTATGACAAGTATTTCCGGACGGAGGGAGTATATGGTTTAGGGATTCTGAAAAGAAACAAAAAGAAAATTTAGGCAAAACAGAGCAGCACAATGCTCATCAACAGTTAATTTCTGGGCATCAAGGGAATATATATCCTTCTCTCCTTAATACTACCAAACTCAACATAGTAACATGTTAGGCTAACGACACCATAAGCTTCACGGTGACATCAAGTGCTCACACCTTCACAGAAACCCCACCTACGTACACAGCGTTGCGAGTGACTCTTGTTACCAGCCCAGAAACTACAACTGTCCATTCATTTTACACCCTGCATTGTACCAAAATGACCCCACGCATGCTAAACTAGCGCTTCAAACTCAGCCTCTACCGAGTCTGAGCTCTCACTAACACCACCACCAGCCAAGGACTGATTTACATCCATCTCATTGACCACCAGGAGGACGGATCTGCAGAACAAGGGTGCACGAACGAGATATCTCTTCAGCCAGGGGGGCGCCGCCCTGGTCAGAGAGATGCTGATGGTCCGGGGGAATGCACAACTCAGAGTAGATCCATGCTTTGATATCGTCAATGGTCTGCCTGGGCTTAAACGCACGATCAATGACCTCCTTCCCGTTCACCGTCCTGAAAAATATGCGCATCCCACCTCTCTGCCTCGTGACGCCACGCAACACAACATGAAGGGTAGATGCATGTTGCACATCGTAGTCAGCCAAGGTGCGGCCATCCTCCAGCACATTCCCAGCAAAGATGAGAGTCTGTCTGTCTGGGGGAACGCCGGTTTCAGCGGAAACCTTTACCTTCACACTATATATGGTATCTTCTCCCTCAGCCACAGCAGTCATGATCTTGTCAGTCAGTCCCCTGATAATGATGTGCATGTGCATCCCACCTCTGTGACACGTGAGGCCATGAAACACCACAAGATGAATGGTAGTTTCGTTGTGCACATTGCAGTCAGCCAAGGTGCGGCCATCCTCCAACTGCTTCCCAGCAAAGATGAGACACTGTCTGCCTGGAGGAATGCCGGTTTCATCAAAAATCTTTGCCTTTACACTGTATAGACTATCTTCTCCCTCAACATCAATAGTCATGATCTTGCCAGTCAGTGTCTTGACAAAAATGTGCATCCCATCTCTCTGACATGCCGAGCGGAACACAATATGAAGTGTAGATTCATTTTGCACGTTGTAGTCAGCCAAGGTGCAGCCATCCTCTAGCTCGTTCCCAGCAAAGACGAGACGCTGTCTGCCTGGGCAAACGGTGGTTTCATCGTAAATCTTTGCCTTCACAATGTATATGCTATCTTCTCCCCCAACCTCAATAGTCATGATCTTGTTAGTCAGTGTCTTGACAAAGATATGCATCCCTCGGGGGACAAGGTCAAGGGTGAGCGTGGACTCTTCCTCAATGTTGTAGTACTCCAGGGTGCAGCTGTCCATCAGCAGCTCACTGCCAAACATGAGTCTCTGCTGGCCTTCAGGGATGCCCTCCTTGTCTCGAATCTTATCCTTGACATCGTAGATCGTATCTGATCCCATGACCTCAAGAGTGATAGTCTTTAAACAGTGGATCTTTCTTTTTCTTTGAAAATTTGAACAGTTGATTTTGACAAAGATCTGCATCTGTTGAACAAGCGCACAAAACATTAGCATCTTAGACACAAGGCTTTCATTAAACACACCAAACTGTAAATGAAAAGAATAGTAGCAATTCCAACAGATAGTAGAACTAAAAACAGAAATTTGCACATTAACCGCAACAAATTATCAAGTTCCACGATGATAATAGTTGGTGTTGCACGGTGTAATACATCTTGTTAAGATCAGAAGGACTAGCAAATTATTGCTAAATATAAACATCAAGACTGTTTGGGCTATGTTGTCAGTCATTCATAGATGTACAACAATGTTTTCAGAAAATCAAGTATCTTACACAAAGTTGACAGATATTGTGATATTATAATACATAATACTCGAGAATCCTACAGATTAGTCCTTTTACTTCTTTAAATATAAATCAAACGAGAACAAGTTTGATATTCTCCATCTAACCAGTCATAAGATCTGACAAGTCTTATGAGATCAACCCCATATATGATGCATTACCCTTCAAATTAATCCACGGATTGTAAATACAAAAAAAAAACATTCAAGATCACACGTTATATGCAGGTAGACCCTACTAGAGACTGAGACCAGACCAACAGCTGTATATGATTCAGGATATTGTCCTTTATATCTTTGGCCAGCAAAATGTCACAATTTGTAAATTAAATGATTGACTGGCCAGAAACAAGTATGGGGCAATGTTAACTTGTTAAGTGCTGAACAGGAGCAGGAAGACCTTCAAGTTGCTATATGGTCATATAAGGCTGATCACGACCACAGTTCTCGTGCAAGGTTAATTCATCAGGGAGTCTGTCAGCAATATTGGATCCACTCGGATGCCAAAAGTGAAAGAAACAGCTATCTTATAAGGAATATGAACACTTCAATCCACTCGATTTATAGAGAAGATGACATTGCAAAATTGTTTACAGCAAATGAACCAGCAAAATCATCTAGATCTCAAGGAGATAAGTATCACATATGCTGAATCTGGGATGGATCAGGCAAAGATGGAGCAGTACGTGAGAAAAGGAGATTGAAAGGGAGACTCACAGTGCACTGTTCAAGATCCATCTCATTAGTATCCTCACCAGTCACCTGCTACAAAACAGACCCTGGTCTATTAGCACTCCCCCAGAAGAGGATTATCCTATATAGACATCAGATATCATGGAAATCGAACCTAACCCCTAATTAATGGTTTTTGTTTCCAGGAACTTTCTTTAGGTTGTATCATGCATTATTAATTAACAAAAAAACCATGGGCACAGATCAACGACTAAGAAAATCATGGCATGTACAAGCTGGACAGATTGCTTTTCAGATGTGGAACTGATGTTTCAGTGAGTACCTTGAGTTGAGAGTTATCGGGGTCAGAAAGAGCTTCACAGGCTTCGGAATCCACCAAGTCCCTCTTTTGAAGTTCTACATTGAACACAAAAGGAATGATATCAGTAGCAGCATAATTCACTAGAATTGGGCGCTTTGTTCTAGAAGTTAAAATCTTCTAATGGACAACCAAATTGCTATTGAGCACATCATAAAGCGACATAGATAACTCCCTGACCCAAAGGGATCGAGCCAAAAGGGAGAATGATGCCAATTTTCAGTCGCAAGTTACTTTCAAAGGGATCTAACCCAGATCATTCAAAGCAAGTTACTTTCTTGTGGCGGAAACATCCTGAGAAGAAGAGGAGGGATTACCGGCAAGCTTGGGATTAGCACCTGGAGGCAGCTCTGCGTAGGCCGTCTTCCACCTCTCCCTGCTCGCCTCCGTCTTCAGTCGCAAGCACAGGAACCAGCATCAGGCGCGAACAAGCCATGATTATTTTTGTGAAAACCCCAAATTGATAGAAACCCTAGAGGGAGCTCGCGGTCCAGCGAATCACCTGGAGGAGGCGGGCACGGAGGCTCTTCTCGCGGGCTTCCGAGAGCCTGTTGATTTCCTCCAGGCGCGCGCGGTCGGCGGCGAGCGCCTCGACCTGCGGCAGCAACCCCATGAGCCGGTCGTAGACGCGCCGCCACTCCGCAGAGGGGAACTCCAGCGGCGCCGCACCCGAACCGCCGTCGCTCATGGAGACGACGGATGATGTTTTTTCCCCCTAGCTTTCGTGTGGTAGCAGTGGCCCTGGAGCGGAGAGCAGAGCAGAGCAGATCAATGCGTGTGGACGAGATTGGGGTCGACGGGAAGCTCGTGGAGTGGGGAATCCGACGGTGTGATAAGGGCGAGGAGGGGATTTGGGGTTTTCTCTGAGAGAAGCAAGCTCGTCATCCGTCCATGGCGGCAGGAGCGAGAGAGTGGGGAGAGTTGGGGTTTGGGGGTGGAAGCGGATTTGAGGATTTGCCACAGGTTTGTTTGCACTTTGAGGATTTGCCCTCCTTTTCCTTGTCATGGATTATTTGCCACATCTTTGTCAGTTTCTTGATGATTTGCCACCGACGGTACGGACCAACAGAGAAATGTTTAAAATGCCCCCTCGTGACACCCTGTCTCGTTCTTGTTCCCTTCGTCCTCGTCTCGTTCAAAAGCATGGAAGACGGAAGCGGCTCCGCCTGCTCGTGAGCTCGTCGTCATCCAAACAGGTCGAGATGTGAGCACGAAAACAGAGGCGGGGGAGCGAGCCGATCCTGACAGGTTGTTGAAGGGGAGGAGCACGGCGAGGCGGCCGGGGAGCAACGCGGCGGGCAGCAAGAGCGAGGTCGTGCAGCCTGTGTGCGCGTTGCAGCCGACGCCCGACCAAGAACAGGGGCGGTTGTCGTCGTCTGTCCACTTGGTGAGACTGCCCAGTCGACCAACGACGCTTGTTTTGACGACCACCGGGCACCAGCGCAAGCACGCCGTCGGTGACCGCGGTGGTGGTCTTCGCCATGGCCGGGGAGGACGGGCGGCGGGGAGCAGTGCGGGCGCGGAGGGAGGTGGCGAAGGCTGTTGCTGCGGCCCGGGAGGGGATGCGTGCGGGTGGTGGTGTCACACCGGAAGCTTTCTCCTATTTGCGTCGGAGGAGAACTTGATGAAATCGTAGTGACTGATGATGGCGGATGCTTGTGCCTGGCACACGATCGATGACGGTGGCTTCTCTTTTCTGGCCGTCGGCCTCGGCACGCTTGGTCTGGAGCGGCTAGCAGGAGCACAACAAGGCACACAAGGCTGTGAGCCATGGCGAGCAGCCGGGGATACGAACGGACAGAAAAATGGGAACGATCAAACAGGAATCTGGCTAATTTAGGCCGGGGCAGTTTAGTCACTGATTTTGTATTGTAATTCCATACCGATCATAAGGGGCAAATCATCAACGATCTGGGAAAGGTGTGGCAAATTATCAGTGACAAGGAAAACAGGGGCAAATTCTCAAAGTGTAAACAAACTTGTGGCAAATGCTCAAATTCCTCGGAAGCGGAAGGGTGGGGAAGAGACCTCTTTGACTGATCCGGCCGCTCCGTTTTAGCGTTTTCGGGTTTTTCCGGGCCGGACTATATTTTTCTCGGCCCGTAAAAGATACTCCCTCCGTCCGAAAATACTTCTCATTAAAATGGATGTATCTAGATGTATTTTTGATACTCCCTCCGTCCGAAAATACTTGTCATTAAAATGGATGTATCTAGCATTTTAATGACAAGTATTTTCGGACGGAGGGAGTATACGGGTGGCCCGTAAACCGTCCCTTCTCCAGGTGGTATCTACGGGAGTGGGGCGTTTTAGGTTTTCCGTCTCGGATAAGATTCGTCCCCCTCCGCCACCTTCCTTTCGTAGCTCTGGCGATTAATTCCGGGCGTTTTTCCCTTTCAAGCGCAGATCCATGGCGGGAGAAGGTCAGGGACATGGGGCCACCACGGGTCGCCACCACACAAGCGCGGCCAGCACGACGTGGAGGCCTGCAGCTCCAGCCGGTCCGTCGTTGAGCCGTGGCGCACGGCGCAGGTGCGCCAACGCGGCGCCCTCTCCCTCAGCGGCGGCAACATTAGTGAACCTGCTTCTTTTGGTGCAGAATTAGTGAACCTTTTCCAAAAATATTCATACGAGTGAACGAGCTCGCCTGGTCATGGAATCATGAAACAGCCGTTAACATTGGGATATGAACCGTGGCAGGTATTGTCAGGGGGATAGGTTTTCCGAAAAGTGAAGTACCTAGCCCAAATAGGTGATGGGTGGACCCACATATAAGGCCGGTGTTAGTTGACACATTGAAAAATTGTTCATAGTGTGTTAAAAATGATTCATCATGTATTTGAAAAATATTTATAATCTATTAAAAATTATTCATCTTGTATTGAAAAATATTCATGATGTCTTTAAAAGATATTTATAGTATATTCCAAAACTTTTGAATTTAAATTATAAATTGTTCACCGTGTATTGAAAAATGTTTATTTGAATGGTAAGGCTGACATTGTATTATCCTTCCCTAGACTATGAGAGCTTCTAGCACTGGTTACACCTATTCGTTTTACTTGAAAATTGCTTATTGTGTATTTAAAAATATCCACAATTTATTAAAAATATGCACCATGTATTAAAAAAGTTGTTCATCTTGTATTGAAGAATATTCATCATGTTTAGAAGAATGCTCATAATATAATTTCCAAATGTTTTATCATGTACATGAAAAAAGTTCACTATGTGTTTAAAAACGTGCTCACTATGAATCTCACATCGTGTAATTGAAATATGTTCAACGTGTATCTAAAAATTGTTCAATATGCTTTTAAAAAAATCAACCTGTGTTAGCAAAAATTAAACATGTATTTTAAAATGGGAAAATGAAAAAGAAAACAAGGAGAAGAAAAATCATAATTGAAGAAAGGAAAAATAGAAGATTTAAAAATAAAGATAAAAATAACAATTGATAGAAAACCAAATAAATTGATAACACATAAATATGAAAAGAATAAAAACCGACTGGAACCTTCCAAAAACCGGATGGAAGGTTCCCAAAACCCATCACCACATTACACCAGCCGAGATGGATATGTGAGTTATCTATAAATCTTGCAATGAGCTAGATATAGCTCTCACGATGCTATGCCATGCAAAGGCTATTTATCGCTTATTGTGACAACACGTTAGCGCTCGCCTCAAGGCCGACGGGAGAAGGGCCGACATAGAAGTAGATGAATAGACCAGTTTCTTAAGATTTATTTTCAGGTTTTTGTGTATGGTTTTTCTGATCTGGTTTTTGGTCCGATTATTATCTTTATTTCTGTTTTTAGTGTTTGTCTAATTTGTTTTATGTTCTTCATTTTCTATTTCTTACTGTATTTTTAAATTTTTTTCTTCATGTTCCTTTTGTGTTTCTGTTTCTTTTAATTTTCTAATTTGATTACATATAAAGATGTTTTTATAAAATGAGTTGAAACTTTTAAAGTTTTCTTTGCCTTTTCATACCTATGTTTTCTCTTTATTTATTCATTTATTTGTTTTTTCTTTACTTTTAGTTCCTCTTTCTAAAATATGGATAGTGCTTATCAAAAACAGAATTATCGTGCATTTAAAAAATGTCCAATGAATATTTTGAAAAAGGCCATCATGTATTTAAAAACTGTGCATTGTGTCTTTGAAATATTTGATGTGTATTATAAAATAATTTTAATTTTATATAAAAAAGTTGATCATGCATTTAAGAAATATTCATCCTATATTTAAAAAATAAGGTGTATTAAAAATCTTGATCACATTTATAAAAAATGATCGTCATTTATTTCAGAAATTCTTGGCATTGTTTTAAAATATGTTAATCATAAATTAAAAAATGCCCATCATGCATTTAAAAATGTTTACACCAGGTATAAGGAAATTTTCTTATTGTTTATGAAAAGGTTCATCATGAATTTACGAAATATCATCGCTCATTTAAATCAATGTTCAGGTTGTAATTAAAAAATGATCCTCATGTTTAAAAATATTTTTCATCATGTACAAAAATTGTTCATCATATTTTTAGAAAAGGTTCAGTGTGCATTTGAAAATTGTTCATCACGTATATAAACATTGTTATTTATTATTTTAAAAAAGTATCCATCGAGTTTAAACATATTATTCATCATTTATTTGAAAAATGTTCATCATGGTTTTAGAAAATGTTCATCGTGTTTAAAGAAAAAGTCCTGTTGATTTGCCAAAAGTTCATCATGTTTTTTTTAAATGTGACGCTGGCTAAAAAAGTTGAGCCTGACACCTCCATGGAGGTGTTCTATTCCTGAAGATAACCGAGGTTGGTAGGGGAAAATTTTCAAATTGATCTGCCTACAATGAACACACTTTACATTAAATTAGGTGCTTATTCCTTTACCCCTACCCTATAATAAAGGAGGTGTTTACATTTTTTTTCTCAAAATGATCTGCCTACAATGAACACACTTTTCAAAATTATCTGCCTACGTCGACTATAATCGTACAGGTAATATGTTAACCAACTTACCAACGTTTCATCTGGAATTCTAGATGAATGGCCTGCCCCCTTAATAAATTGCAACATTTTTTTATGACGACCATGGACTGTACTTCGCAACATTTTGCCAACCAACAGTACTTTGAATGTACATACTGATGCTGGATTGCTGATATTAGTAACTAACACGCGGTAGTTATATCATTGTGCATAGGAGCTGAGTACTCGTGGTTAGAGAAGGATCTGCAGAAAGTCACACCATGGGTTGTCGCTTCTTGGCGCTCGCCCTGGTATAACTGTTCCTCACACTACCAGGAATTTGAGTGCATGAGGCAAGAAATAGAAGGAGTCCTCTACCAACATATGGGATCAACATTGTCTTCGCAGGACATGAGCATATGCATTGTTTGGTAAATGGTTTGATTCAGACTAAATTCCTTCAATTTCTTTGCTTTCTTTTGCCCCATCTAGATTAACCAATCGTACTTCCCTCAGTTCCTGCTGTTGATACCATTTTTTCCGAACAAGTGCAGTTTATTTGATTCTACATTGATTACTCAAGGTACGCGCATACCAAAGGATGAACCGGGTGTTCGACTACTCGTTGAATCCGTGCGGGCCAGTTTACATTACGATCGGGGATGGCGGTAACATTGAGAAATTCGACACTGATCATGCAGATGACCCTG